AAAAAGTAACAACATCTTTAAATGGACCGTTTATAAGGCAAAATTCTTTACTGTGTAAGGAATTCATGTCTCTGATATAAATTAAAGTAAAAAAATGTCCTATAAACATGGGTCCAATTCAAAACGGTTATCCACCTACAAGTGTTCAAGGTTTATAAATGAAAGCACAATTTTTCGGAACGTTTAATTTCGGAACAACTAAAAATGAAAAATAAGAGGAAAACACAACGATTAAAAATGTAGTACACTAGAGGCAAGTTAATACTCGTATTGAATTAATACAGTATATTAATGAAGCGTGTAAACAAATAAAGAACAATCATGACGTTCTTCGTGCTGCTATTCAATCCATTTTAGATCGCACCGTACTGTGTATTAAACTTTGAACGAAGAACATCGATTTGAACAATTTATGTAATCTTTATATTTCCTTATATTTTATATTTTCAATCAAAAATGTTTCAAAAAATGTTACTTATTTATACTTATTTACTTATAAACTTCAAACACTTGCAGATCAATAACCATCTCGAGTTGGACTAATGTTTGTAAAACATTTTCTGCTTCAATTTACACCCGAAACATGCTCCTTGAGTTTTTTTAGTACAGCGTGTCATGTAACACCCTGCAATATCGAGTCGATTATATCACATGAAATCACACTTGTGTGTGCGCGCGCGCGCACGTTTAGGGAAACATGCCTGCACCTCTGTTCCTCTTCGGTGAGAAACCTTGTGTAGCCTCTCTTCTTCGACCTGTATCGCGTCAGCAACGCGTTTCTGAAACCCCTCAGGCGTCTACGGAGCAGTTCCAGCTTGTTTTTCCACGACGTCTCGAAGTACTCGGCCTCCACCAAATCGCACTTCGGCATTCCCATCTTTTCCAAGCTCGCATCGAGCCACGACGTTCCGTGACAACCCCGAAAACACGCGAGTCCGCGAGTTTCTTTCGACAATTATTCAAATCGCGCCCTGTAGGTTTCCCTCCCTTGCGCCTTTAAACGCGAGATCAAGAGAGAAAGGACAGTGAGAGAGAAACACTCGAATGTGTCGCGTTCCTACCGTCTCCCGATTTTCTTTCTTCCCGCCTCGATTTCGCTGATATCACCGAATCGGAAATCACTTATCGAAACTAATTATCACAGTAAGTGATTCGAATCGAAGCCTCGTTAATTTCACTCTCTCATGCGTTATTATATCCGTCAAAGACGGCCGGCGACATCGCGATCGTTGGCATCGCCTAACGAGTAGCCCCTGCCGGTCTTCCCTCGAGAGATGTCTTTGTCGCTGGGCCCGCGAGAACGCATAATTAGCCGCAGATTATTTCACAGCGTCGCACTCTCGCCATCGGCATCTCGGCACTGTCGATAAAATAAAACCGCTGTATTTTTCCGCGTAATTCCTTTTTCCCACTTATCGTGTGGCCGATAAGCGCGGAAAACAGCGTATATCGCTGAAACGAGGTCGGTCGCGGAGACGTCGACCCTCCGCTCGCCAAGAAACGAGCCCTGGAAACGTGACGTCTTGTCCAAACTCGTGAAAAACTCGACGCTGCTCCGACGAGCGCAAAAGAAAAAAATTTCCTTAAATCTACCTGACAATGGGACAAACCAAGTACGTTTTGGTTGAAGGAAACAGAATTTTTCGTTCCGACGAACCAAATTCGACTCTTATAACCAGAAATTCCATTTCTTTCAACCAAAATGCGTTTAATTTCTCCATTGTCAAGTAGATTCAGCAAAAATTTTCCGTGAGCGCATAATTTCAATCGTTCGCCTAGTTTTTCATATTGCGATTTCCTTGAGAAAATAAATCTACCGATCTATTTTCAAAGCTTTAATCGTTCGCCATGAGCGATGCGGATTTCGATAGAGTAACGACAACTAATTAGTTGTCTATTTTTTCACGATATAATTTTCTGCACGGGAAAAAGTTTGGTTGAATTTGCCTGACAGTGAGCACACCAAACGCGTTTTCGTTAAAGGAAACGGAGTTTCTGTGCAGAAAAAAGTCTGAAATCGGCGACTGAACTAGAACCAGGTGAAAACTCGGTGACAGAGAAATTATGTCTTTGTTAGCACGACTGAGAACATCAGTATGAATATTTACATGGAAAAAAGATTTGGTTGAACTTCTGGTTACAAGAACAGAATTTGACTCACAAGAACCAGAAATTCTGTTTCCTTCAACCAAAATGCGTTTGGTTTGTTAATTCAACCTGTCTTCTCCGTGCAGCTGTATTAAAATTCAATTGAAACAATTGGGAGCGATCCCAAAAATATTGGCAGCAATATACATATAAAGTTATTATCACTGACACTATAGTAACATTTTAGTCAATGTTACTAGACATTTACTAAAAAGATAGTTCTGACTATAATTATTTCATTATGGTGTTTATAGTTAAAAATACGAAATATTTTTCTCTCAATGCTTAACTAAAACGCTTTTGGTTTATTAATTGTCAGGTACATTCAACTAAACTTATTTTCCCGCATAAGGAAATCAACCGACCATCTCGTTCGGTTCGAAGGCGTATTCGCGGATATTGAGGATTCCGACGGAGCGGCGACGATCAACTGGTCGTTTATTTTTTTCTCAAATCGTAATTTCTCGAGGGAGTAAATTCACCAATTACCTTATTCGGTTTAAAGCCAGAAGTGGTGCGAATTTCGACAGAGCGACGACGATCGACTATTTGTCTATTCTTTTATAATTTTCCGGCAAAGTAAATTCACCAATTATTTTCTTCGAAGGCGACCTATGAACGATGCAAATGGAACTCTGATAAATTATCAATTATTGATTTTTACATATATTACATTATTTCCGAAGAAATAAATTCACCGATTTTACCTTGTTCGGTTCAGTAACCAGAAGCGGCGTGAATTTCGACGGAACGACGACAATTTTTTAGTCACTTGTTTATTTTTTCATATTATAATTCCTGAGGAAGTAAATTCACCAATTACATTATCCAGCTTGAGGGAACCATAAGTGAGTAAGTTTTGACGGAGCGACGATGATCCACTAAATGCCTATTTTTTCATATTATAATTTTCCGATAAAGTAAATTCATTAATTACTTTGTCCGGTTCGAAAATATTATAAGCGGTGCGAATTCCAACGGAACTACGACAAATTATCCATTACTTATTTTTACATATTACAGTTTCCGAGGAAATAAATTCACCGATTTTACCTTATTCGATTTAAAGTCACCAGAAGCGGCGTGTGAATTTGGACAGAGCAACGATAATTATCTTAACCACCTGTTTATTTTTTCACATTGTAATTTCCCGAGGAAGTAAATTCGTCTAATATGTTGCTTAGCTCAAAGATGACCAAGGTGCGAATTTCAATGGGACGACGGCGATTAATCAGTTGTCTATTTCTCTATGCCATCATTTCTCGAGAGAGTAAATCCACCGACAATTTTATTCGATTTAAAGGCGCCACGAACGACGAACGAATGTCGATGTCGATCGCGCCTGATCGTCCTTCGAACTTCACGACTCCTCGAGAAGGCTAATTCGCCAGCAGGAAATTCGCAACGAGTCTCCAAGACTCCATAGTTCCACTCGATATTCCAAGACTGCGTAAACACACCGTTAAGACTCAACGAACTGAGCCGTTATCGCCGACGACTGTTTGCGATCGGGACCGAT